GGGGGGGCTTAAAGAAGGCAGACTGATCGGTTTCAAATTGTTAACTATAAAAGAAAATAAGAATCTTTAACCCATTAACGCTGGTAGATTTTGAAGCTGAAAATAAGATTCCGGGCAGCTACAAAATTGGCTGGTGGGGCTGGCCCGGACTCCGCCTGCCCGCTGGCCGTGGCCCACTCCTGCGTTGGAGCGTGAGCCCTAATACAGCATCATACTAGCGGGATGCCCGGCAATGTATATTTGTCTCCTATGTGGGACGCCCATCGTTAATGGGTTAAAATGTGTGGTTCCATTATATTCCAACTACGTCTGGCAATTTAATTTTTCAATTGCGGGAGTTCAGGTGGTGACAGTGAAATGTAATTTCATGCTCTTGTGATTTCTTGTCTATTCCTCATTTATTGATTGCCTTGTTACAAATATGTCACAAATTAGTGGTGGATGGGCATAAGTGGTGAATGGGAATTGTTGTTGGTCGAGGAATAATGAGACAAGTGTCATCCCACATCTTTCACTGAGGTGTCCAGCTTATGCTGGACAGCAATTCAGAACTAATGTTAGGTGGTCAATCACATTCACTCAATCTGTTCCGGCCTCCTATGCTTCGTTTCCTCTTCCTTGTGCCGCCTCCTATGAGGTCTGTCGCTTCCTGCTTGCTGTGATTTTGTAGGGACGTTCCTGAGTTCTTGGCGACATGGCTTGTGCTTTCTTATTTATTGATGGGGTGGCTTTCCCCATGCTTCCATACACCATTTTGCATATTCTTCAATGCATTACATGCATTACTATGGCCATTCAGAGTATATGTAACTCAATATGTGGCCAGTGGAGCATCCCCATACAAGCATAGTAGCTGCACTTTCTATGGCACCTGACATACCCATGTGATTGACATGACATGCATTAGTCCTGTGATGTGTGGCAAATTTTTCACTCCCCCCCCCCCTTTTCTTGGCACACAGGTATTTACTCATATCTTGATCTAAAATGATGCTTGTATTGATGCTGATAAAAGCTCTCAGCAAGAATTTTTGCCCTTGTGTATGCCATGTCCCATTGTAAGATAAACAAAATCCAGTATGCTGTCATTGTCCAGATGCCTGTCTTGTTCTTTGCCATAGTAAGATTACATTCTTATTTTCTACAAGTTTGTTTTCATCTGCCTTTTCTGTTTTGTAATACGTGTAAGTCTTGGTATTAAGGTGAGCGAGTATGTGGCTAAGATAACCACACAATCTGTGCCTCGAAACCACCAGCCTAAAAGTATGGCAAATATAAACATAATTATGGTAACAATGCCTTTGCTGTCTGTAAATTTATCATGGTAGTATCCAAGGCAATAAAATTTATGGCACATGATTTGCACATCTGCCAAGTTGATTCAAAATGAACACTTCAATAAGATTGTAAAACAATCTTTACAATTATATTTGTAGACAATTTTTCTATATTGCTATGCTTTATAATGATATTCTGCGAATCAACTTCACTTTATCTATTCAACACTAATAAATTTTGATTATGCTGAGGTTGAAGTATGTGGGGAAGGTGGGCAGGCAGAGATATAGGGGTGCAGTAAGTGGGATTGGGGATGGCCTGTGGCAACACTCGTGTCCCCCCTCACTCCTCTCCACTTCACTTTCAATTATTTCTATATTAGAGGGCTGTTTTTTCGGTACTAGTTGGAGACACCAACATGTGTAGATAGTGAAATACACTGCCATCTTAGAGTGGAAGTAGTGAGAGAGAACATAATTTAAGCTGCACTGCCTCGTAGTCACCGCTAAATGACGAAAATATAACTAGTTGTCGATCAAATTGTCCCACAACTTCTTTACCTTGCCAAAAATAACATGGACTGCTTGACTCGTTACCATTATTTCCATAGTAGTTCGTTACTACGTGCTTGTCAAAATGTTATGCTATTTGTCAGTTTTTCACATTTATGCTTTTTAAGTTTATTATTGTACCTCATTTGTGTATTTAAAGATTTATTTATAACCTTATTTAGAATTTTCAATTTTGCCAGCCACGAGGTTAACAACTCATTGAGTGTTCATTTCAATGTAGTACACCAGTGAGAAGTGTTGCATTTCCAGAGAATGTCCCTAGGGTTGTTAGGGAGGCAGGCACCCATTAACCCTCCCTTTGGGCGGTGCTGGAAGGGCACGCCTAGTCATGGCAGATTAGATTGTTATATTAGGCTGGTTTATTGTTCAATACTTTTTTTTTTTTTGTCAATCCCGTGACGCAATGTTTGTGCTCCCGCTCCGGTCACTGAAGTATCATCTTGTACAAATATACTTGAATAATATTTTTTCACAACTTTACTTTTAATATTCAATTTTAGCTAGCTGGCAACACTACATACTTTCAGTGTTAAACCACATCTAGGAGGCAATGCTGAATGTCGCCACCTAAGTCAGAGGGGGAGGCTGTGCTTCACCTGCCTCCTCAACACCCTCACCTAGACATAACCCTGATGCTCCTTCATCGCACACTAAGGACACAACTAATAGATAGGTCTTTAACTGAACCTTCATGATGAGATAAATCTTGCAATCACAGTTGGAACAGTAATTTATTTGTATGAAATGCCTCGAGGTACTGTAAAGCCTATGAAGACAAGGCTGCACTTTGACAACTGTGTGCAGTTAGTGCGATTAGTACCTTGCAAAAGGGGGTACCATATCATGTGGCTCCCATAAAATGCATAAAGGGGGTGGGGGGGATAACTATTGTTGACTTCAAAGGCTGATAACTCAAAACTACACCTTTTTCAACATTTTATTTTAAATTTTTGTAATACAGCTTTTGCTGCCATTACTGTAATCAGGATTAGGATCCTGAGCATGGAAATTGCAGTTCTGGAGGCAGCACTCTTCCAGTCATAGCTCAGATAGTACATTTCACTCTTTTTTAATAAATGAAAGTAATGCGAAAGCCCCCTCCTGTGCACCAAGTAAGTTGAATCCCCTTCCAAGGGCTCAGTGCACTTGGAGTTCTCTTCACCATGGCCAACTGACACATTTTCCCATGACATGCTCACGTTGTGGTCACGTTATCCCGATTGTTGGGGTTATTGCTGTAAACCTTTTCCCTTGCAATTTGTCATTTGCATTTGTATTCTATGTATACGACTTGTTTACCAATATAGGTTTAGTAAATGCATGATCTTGCAACATAATTACTATTGAACTCTTGAAATTCATTTATCTTTAGACTTAAGATAAGTTTGTTGACCAGCCAATGAGGATAGCAGGTTTTATTTATTCCAGAGGGTGTAATGGTAGCTGAATGTGACCTCTTCCTGCCCAAACATCCTGCTTTAGAGAAGAGTATTCCAAACCTTCATGTCATTAAGGCTCTCCAGGTGAGAACTTTGTTAGTTTACAAGCAGAAAATTGGGACAAGAATCAGTTCTTGACCATTTTTCATTCATTACAAATTTACTACTTAAAGATTGAAGGTGTCAGATATGGTTTCAGGTTTTTAATGGTTTGGGATTATTCATATGCATGTCTCAGATCTGTGTTGTAGTATTGGTTTCCAATTACATAGGAAATTCATATGGCACTGCAATCGAGTTTTCCTGTTATGGTATTCAATGATTTAATGGGATTCCAGAGCTTGAAGTCCCGTGGTTATGTAGAGCAGAACTTCGCATGGCGCCACTACTACTGGAGGCTTACCAATGAAGGTATCCAGTACCTGCGAGAGTACCTACACCTTCCATCTGAGGTAAGGATGAGCTATCGGCTCTGCCAAGTGCATTAAACTTGCCCAGTTTTGTGCAAGTTGGTAATTTGTTAGGCCATGACTGCAGTCTTCAGTCACAGCCTCTCAGTCCAGTATTGTGAATGAAGCACCTGTCAGCATTGAGTTTAAGAAATAATAAATTGGCAGGAACATTGGAACATTTACCACTCTTACTATAGAAAATACATTGTTCTTGTCTTTCAGATTGTGCCAGCGACACTGAAGAAGCCAACAAGACCTGAAGGTAGGCCCAGGCCTATTCACTCTCGTCCTGAGGGTCCACGTAGTGAAGGTTCCAGGGAAGCCTACAGGAGAGCTCCCCCAGGTGCCGACAAGACTGGTGATGCTGGTGCAGGATCTGCGTCCATGGAATTCGTAAGTTTGGTGATAAATGTTTCCTTGTAGAACAAGTTTTTCCTATTTAGCGAGGCAGTGTAGTACATGTATAGTAACTGTTTTTGGATTTGCAAATTAATGATTTGCCCTTCCATGTCACATTGTTAATAAGTTTATTATTTTTTTCAGCGTGCTGGTTTTGGCCGTGGCAAGAAAACTCAGTAAATTGTAAAGTAATAAAGAGAGAAAGAAATGTTTTTTTCATTTTTCCTTGTTTTATAAAGTCCTCTTTATTGAAAAATATGCATGAATGGAATTCCATTTTACCAAGTTATGGTAGTATGGCCAAATTTCATGCTAAATTATCTGTATACAGCAAGTTTGGTATCCTAATGGATGTTAAAACTTGTGGTATTCTACAAGCCTTATTTAGACATTTTGAATAGTTCACACTGCAATTTATCAGTTACTCTTTTATTAGGACCTTATTTTAGGACTAAACCTTTAAATCCTAAGCTACTTTATTAAACAAGTTCCTTATAAGTAAATGATAGCGTGAAAATTTAAGATGTGGAAATCAACTTGTCTTAAAGAATAGTAGAATTTGAAATATACAGAAAATAAACATTGTAATACAAAAAGAAACCAAGCTTGACATGAATACATCAAATACAATCTTGTTCAAAAATGGCTGCAAGAACTACCTTTCTTCAGGTTATAGGAATTTAGATTTGTTAATTGCAGTTAAACTTGATTAATTTTTTTTTTATCTGGGGAAAGCACCAATTTGATGAAGGGAATGGTTGTAGATCTGATATAAAGTAGATAATTCAGGAGGCATGTCTTTAAGCCTTATCCAATCCACATAAGAAATGGGGCTCAGGGTCTTTAGGGTCTCTCCCCCCCCCACCCTTTTTCCCCCCTCACAGTAGTTTAAGAAAATACCAGAAAGTATTCATTTATAATTCTCCCTCCCTCATTACCCTTCCTAATGGGAAAGGAAGTGCACAAGCTGATAATTAGGCCTCCACATAAGAAATGGGGCTGAGAAGAACAAATGTCTATTTCAAAAACTCCAAAAATTCCCTTTAAAGCCAGGGAGTTGGATTGGAAAGGGTTGCTGTCAAATCATGTATTATCTCCTGAAAATTTATTTGCTCCACTTGAGCATGTTTACATGTTCAACTACATCATACTTCAAGATCCCAAGTAGATGGATGTGACCTGGGAAGTGCCAAGAGATGATCAAATCAGCCTCCTGAGAAGATAAATTGGAATTGCTGAAGGTATTGTTAATTTTAATTTACTAGAACTTGAAAATTGCTTTACCTTAATTAAATGTGAGCATGAATGGAATTCCATTCTTACATGTGTAGTAGGATGGCCAAAATTCATGCAAAAATAAGTGTACAGATGCAATTAAATTTCCTAACTTGGGAAGTGATCATTGACATTGTCCTACAATCATCCTGATTAATGTTCTAAAACAGCTGTTAACTTGTTCATTTAAGTGAAATTTTTAAGACTTCCCTTTGCCCTTTTTCATGTTTGGTATCGGTATTGGTTTGCAGGAAACAAGGCTAAATAACTTTGAAAAGGTTGTAACTCCTTAGTAACTGTCTAAACTAATTGTCCAGCATCTATCCTTAGCTCATCATTGTAAGAATAGTCATTCTGGATTTGGGTGCTTTGCTGCCTGCACGTGGCTTTAAATCTGGGCATTAGGCTTGAGACCACTGATAGGTGTGGGGCTTATAGGTTAGGTGTGCAAAATTGTAGACAGTGTCAAGACTCCTATACTCCCCTTTGCAATATCTTTGTTTAAGCATTTCTTTTTATTTCTCTATTTTCCAATATTTTCATTTAATGCTTCATCCAGATGGTGATAAACTATTTTCCGTAGACTCCATATGTTAATTCTAGGTAATTTATAAGTAATAAGAAACGTCATTTTTCAGATATTCAATTGTGTAACCTATGCAGGTGACCATACTCAGCATGGATAGTGTCCTCCCTGGAGCTAGTGCTCTTTCAGACATGGCTGTTGCTAAGTTCCATGTTTGTTTATCAGTAGAAATAATACAAGAGCCACTCCCAAAATACCCTCTAAGAGCTTTTGCACTTATGGCTAGTCATTCCTGTCACTGCTGTCTTCAGGCAAAATTTTTATTGTGAGGTCCTGTCACCCCAGATTTTTCCATGTTTATTATTGCCTTTATTTATTGCCTTCCCCTCATGCATGTATACATTTTTTTATATGAATTGATGGTCAAGGCATCTGGATTGTAGGGAGTAAGTCAGTAATTCAAAGATTTTATAGAAATGTTCCCAAAAATCAATGTATAGATTAAATGGGTAAGATTAGTTAGGGCTAATAACAACTTGATATTAAACAATTGTGAAATGTGATTGTGTAGGCATAAGTAGAGTAGTTCCCATTTAGTAAATCCAGGAGTGTTGAAAACCACAACTTGACTATACAGTAAATGCAAAGCAATAACTTTCTCAAGGCACTGAAAAACAAGCTAGTATATAATTTTGAAAAATTGAGTCGGTATTTTTGAACACATTGTTTTTTTTTAATAGGTGATCAGTTTCTTCATTTCATACTATGAATGTTACTTGCACAACATTTACTGGAAGAATCTATTGCTGCCACTTTTGAGTCCATGTAACAATGTGTTAAGGAGACCTTGTGATTTTTCGGCGATTTTCGCCCCTCTTGCCGAAATTGACTTTAATGCATTTTCAAGGAGTTTCTAGGCCCCCGGTTCTCCCCTGAAAATTTCAAGGCCTGACCGTTATTTTTTAGGTGGTAGCAGCGATTTTCGATGTCGACCGAAATATTTTTTTTTGTTACCTTAGAAAATCGGCAATTGTGACGCAATGATTAGAGATAATAAAAAGATTATTTTCTGAAAGCTTATTAAATTTCACACAAGATGAGACCAACTTTCTTTTTTTCGGAATAATTTCAAATCCGGCAAGCGTCCAAAAAACGACAATGAAGAAATTTTCCATATAAATAACTAAACATGTTTTTCATATGATGTATTTTCTTTTCTTTGTTTTCATCATACATAGTTACTTTGATCTATGAGCAAAACATTTCGAAAATGCAAACCTCCCCCCCCCCATGGGGGGTAGTTTTGCCAAATATTCAGGATCACCACCAAAATTTTATGGAATATTAATTAGGCTAAGACAAACCTCAGGATTAAAATTTTATTCAAATCTGTTTAACTTTTCGAGTTAGGAAAAAAAATCCTGGATCCAAACTATGGTCCGCATCACCACCAAACTGCAATAAGCATCAAAGTTAGGTTAAAACTCGCCTTTGGTTAAAATCTCCTTAAAATGTGTTCATAACTTTTAGAAATATTAGAAAACACAAACTAACAATCAAAAAAAACAATCAATCAACAAACAAAGAAACAAACAGAAGTAACAATATAAATAAACAAAAGGTCATGGGGTACACGAAAATTATCTGTGCTCATATACCTTGTATAATGTAAACATAATAAAAAGGAATAAGATTGCAATTTTTAGGTCCGTCATATTTTTACGCATAGCACACGTATATTCGGTCCGATTTTAAAGTATTATGGCTCATTTTGTAGCTGAATAATAGTTCTATTACATACTGCCATGAGGATTTGCAATATTTTCACATGGTTCTTGTAAAAGTGACATATGTTTTCAAAATCTCGTATTAGGGTGTTAGAATAATCACCTTCGGAAAATATTCACCAAGAAAAAAGTAGGGTCAACTTCTCAAAAATGGCTTCTGCATATAATAGAAAGATAGTTCTATTCAAATATGAAATCAGAATGGCTGTATGAATTTTTTTGGAATTTTGAGATTTTTTAAAATGGTCAATGTAGGCCTATAGACCCCCAGATCACGTTACGTGCTGGCAATGTCCGCAAGACTTCGGAATGCAGGTAGATGATAAAGGATTATGGTGTAGGAAGACTAATCTTATGCCTTGTTTTATTGATATCAAGATAGCCTTGGAAAGATGAAAAAACGTAAAATGCCGATATCTCGGAACTCCACCTTTAGGGGTGGGTCAAAGGATTCCGGGCACACCATATGTCCAAAATTAACATATGGCTCATTTTGTAGAAAAATAAAATATCTGCAATTTGATTGAGAGCGTTTTCGCAGTTTTTGCCTGTACTTCTTGTAAAAGTGGTCAATGTAAGAAAATTTTTACCTTTTTTTTTTTTTTTTTTTTTTTTTCCTCCTTGAAGTCCCCTACTTCAAAAATTCACAAAGAAATTGAAGTCGAAATCGAAAAAACGCTCTCGTCAAGTTGTAGATATAAGGTAGTTCTGTGCAAAAATCAAATAAAATTGAATGTCTTGCCGTTTCTGAAGTCGGAATCCTTTGACCCAGGTGCTGCATTTTCAAAATGGCGAATTTCGCATTTTTCCGTTTTTTGACAATTCAAACTGTTCGGGCGATATTGAAAAAAATCGACCACAGGCAATGGGAAGGGGCCCAAATAAAAGGGTGAGTTTCATCAAAATCGGCAAGAAAAATCGAAAAATCAAAAAAAAAAAAAAAAAAAAAAAAAGACGGTCCCCTTAAGTTGAAATTGCTCCCCTAACCCTCAGCCTTTCCCAGTAGTGCCGCCGCCTCACTTGTGTGCAGGCGGTTTTCTTTTTACCACCCACCCCCCCACCCCACTGTTTATTTTCTCTGAAATAACTTGTACATAGTGCATCCAAGCTTAACAGTTTTCATTACTCCCTGACTGGTCATGAAGTAGGTACATCTTGTCTTTTTAGCCTTGTTTCCTTAACCTGTGATGATTACAGCTCTAGCTATCAAGGTACAATCATGCTTTACGTGTTTAAGCATTATGGCTCGCTTGAGTGGTTGGGCCAACTGTACACAGCATAAACCTTAACAAAAAGAATGTATTAAAATTGTCAGTAAAAAATGCCATCATTGACAGGGTTAAATAAGATGTCTTGTAGGCTGCTGCCAAATAGTGAGAGGTGGTTGTGATTATGCTTTTAATTTCTAACGTGAGGTCAATTTTATGATACCTAGCATATAGGATTTCCCATCGTGAAAGAATGAGAGAAAAAAAAAAAATAATAAACCTATCCCTACTAAGAAATTGAACTAACATTTCAAACTAGTGCTTCTACAGCCAAAGCAAATAACCAAAGATTTTTTAATTTTTACTTTCATCTTTGTTTACATTTCTATTTTGTTCACAGGTATTCATTTTTTTTTGCAAATGGCCAGAAATCCAGTCAACGAATTGAAATTGACACCATGAATTAATCGGGAGTGGGATTACCTAAGGTTTCTCCTACATTATCTGCAGCTAGATTGGAACATGATTTCGTAAGTGTTAACATCCACAAGCAGTGCCTCTTGAGTGTATAAGGGTTCAGGAAGAACATTGTGGTTTTATATACTATGGATCATATGATTTACTAGTTATCTTTTTGAAACGGGAAAGATTTGTAAGGTATATGGATCAGATTGAATTGTACAGTAATGCTTAAAGAAATTGGTTGTTTCATCTTCCTCCATAGTTTTATAGCTGTGTGTTGTTGTAGGTAACGTTCTGTAACCTGCACAGCTCTGAGGCTTAGAAACTAACCAAGATTAAAGTCCATATCATAGTGCTACTTAACCCTGTGGTTTGGTAGTCTCCCAAACCTGGAACAAGGCATACTTTTAGTAAGTTTACATATCCAGAAATGGGCCAACCAACAGAAAAGGTTGTGCGGATTGGTTTTGTTGCACAAATATTCTAATTTGTTATTGGATATAAAAGATTTTGAAGTTAAATTAAGACTGTTGGCCATTTAGCAAGTCTCTGTACTTGTAGTGCAAGTAGATATTCTAGCAGTAGATACATTCATGAAGATCTCATCTTTTCAGGCAGGATTTATGGAAACCTGACTAGGTTGAGTGAAGATCACCTGGGCATCTTGTATTAAAGGTAAGATTGATGTACCTTTCAGATTTGTATTTAAAAACAGTTAAGTCCTTGGTTCCAAAGTAAAATTTCATTTGGGGTGGGGAGGTGTTCCTGGCATTTTAAGAAACTTGATTTTACAGAAGGAAATGGAAAGAATGTAAAATTTTGTTGATAAAGCATATAGCTTATCAGTTAAATTCTTGCTTATGAAAATGTATTAATAGCAATAGATTTGTCATCTGAAATTGGTGATGAGGAATTTATGCATCTACATACTTAGATAGGAAAGTGGTAAACCTGGTGCTGATAGTAATATTTGTGGAGGGGGGGGGATGCAGGGGATAAGGTGAAGGTTTAGCTGGAACAAATGCCATAACACAGATTTAAGGAGGGGCAGGAAACAGGAAGAAACTGTCACAATACTAGATTTTCGGTAGTGCAGTCGTGAACGTGCTGGTCTTGCAGTCTTGCTGACCTGTTTGATCTTGCACTACCACTGAATGGTAACCCAGGCCATTCCTTGGAGATTTAGAAGGCAAAATAACTGTCGCAGCAAAGAATATCCGTTGTAACAAATGCAATTGCAACTAAATATAGATATAATTGGGGACAGTCATATTGCTGAAAATCTTTCCTCTTACAAGCATTGCTTGATTATGATGAATAGGATTTTAGTTCACAATATTTATTGCTAATAGAGCCATTAGGGTTAAAAGTAACTCAATTTGGTTGGTATTTCTGCCTTCATGGTGTACAAGCCATGTGTTGCTGTTGGTGGTGTTCTATTACTTTCACAACTTTGGGGCTCTATAACCAACCTAGATCATTACCATATCATAGTGCTATCTTACCTTTTTGGTTTGATAGTCTCCCAAACCTGGTACAGATATTGTTCTATGATAATTATAAACTAGTGAAATAGAATTCTTATCTTAAAAGATGATTCAAAGGGAAAATTTGCAGTTATAATTTTTTATATTATTTCTAAAGGACAAAAGGGCAAAGATTCAAAAGTTCTAAGTACAGTTTTACAGCAAAATTGGGATACAACTTCATTCAATGCCTTTGGTGTAGATTCCCCAACATGTAGACAAACCTTACTCAAAAATAGTGTACTCGTACGACAGATGAATATATCTTTGCCAACATTATAATGAAATTTGTGTTAGTTTTAGCGAGACGGTTGGTGGGAGGAGTCAGTTACATGCGTCAATTGACCTATAAAATTTAATTAGATTACTTTTAAGTCATTGCTATTTAAAGTTGCTCTTTGGTTTTATTGAACTGGTATTAAAGAAAACCAACTAATTCCTATTTTATATTTGCAGTGTAGAACTAACCTTTTGAAAGGGTCATAATGAACCAAGAGCATCACGAAGCATACCCTCTAGTGGGAGAGGGCCATATTTTGTTTTCGAAATTTCCACGGGCCAGCAAGTCAATGAGGCTGAATAGGTAAGTTGTCATTAGTTGTCCCTTAAGATAAAGCTGAGAAACCCATTCCTTTAAAATGAAAGCCATATTGGTAGCAGGATACAGATATGGCCAATTGAAATGCTTTTGGTTTTACTTTATTTACAGCACAGTTAAAGTGTCTCGAGTATGGTTGCTCTAGGCTAAGCAAAACTGATGCTAGATCAAAGTTGTAAAAATTTGGTTATGAACAATACTTTCATGTATTGGTTTCATCTCGTTTTACATACAGTTAGAAGGCATATTTACTTTTTATTTTCCCTAAATGCTGTAAATTTGCAGTGCGTGCACTTTTTTCTTATAATTAGGAATTATCAAACAAATAGTTTGTACTTAACATACATTAGTGTAAGATCATTTATGGAAATCTTGGTATTTCAGGAAATCCTGACTTCTGAATCAAGTTGAGGAATAGAGGTAAGGGCATTTGTTCATTATGTGGATAATGTACCAGCTTTTGCATTTTCTATACTAAATTATTGAAAAAAGATTCATGTTGAACCTGCTGTCTTGTACTGAAATTGTAAGGGTTTTCTGGAACATTTACATGCCACATTGTAGTTAAGTATTGAGTGATTTAGATATTAAAGAAATGAGAAGCTGATATTAAATAACATTTCTTTTGGGTTAGCACAGTTGAGTTTAAGGGCTTGAGCATAATTGCTCTTGCCTATATGAAGCTGGTGCCAGAATAAGGAATGTAAAAATTTGGTTATGAACAATGCCACGTGTGTTGGTTTCATCTCGTTTTACAAACAATGTGACTTTTAATAAAGATTAGCATTTAGCAAGAAACCTAGGGTTGTTGGCCTGCATTGTCAGCTTCCTTGTATGTTAGCTTGTGGTATTTAGATTTTCATGAACATGAGGCTTTTGCTGTAGATATCAAGCAGAGATGATTACCCTTTCCAATGTGTTTCTCAAAATGTCTTGCCCTTTTCATCTTCAAAACTAGGCCCAATTGTTCGCATGTTCCATCAATAAGCGAGTTGCCTTTTTTTTTTTTTCTTTGTAGTGCAAGATGTAGTAGCCAATAATGACTGCCTTAAAGGCAAATAGGTATATAAAACATTTGTGGTACTCTGGTTCCAGTGATGTTCAGATTTCAGTATTAGATTTAAGGTTTCTTTGCCCCATCTTAAGATGGTAATCCACCAATTAGCATCACCAAGTTTGTGATACGAATGTTTGAATGGCTTTCAGCAGTTTATCATGATTACTCATATTTCGAGACCTTATACAATCTTGTTACTTAAAACTAACCTTCAAAAATAAATATCATTTGTTATACTTGATAAATTTAAGGATTTGTAAAAATTTCTACCTAAACCATACCTAAGGCTTCACCCCAGCTCCGTACGTGGAAAGGCTGTGGCCATGTTTGAAGGAGTATCTTAATTCTTTACAAGACTACCAGAAAGTAAAAGCCCTAGCCTCTGGCATAGTGTTGTCATATCACTTGGTGAAAGTCCAAAATTATTGTCCCATCATATGACAGTTGGTAAACTGTCCTATGTCTAGTACTGTGTGTTTGGGTTGGATGTAGGTATGGTTGATTGATGGAATGCGGGTGCATATATCATACAAATATTGATTAAAGAATTTCTATCTAGTAGGTTATGATAGTCCTTTGTCGTGAGATTTTAGTGCAAAACGGGAAGGTAGCAAGATGTAAAGGGAGTTCTCTGCCTATGAAGCATATTACTACTTAATCAGAAAAAAAAAAATGAGATGAGAAATCATAAGCACTCAGCTTCTGGATTACTTGCATAGGTTACATTCCACCTTGTAGCTTTCTCGCTTGGTCTATCACCTTGCGACAAGAAACCCAAGGATCTTTGCCATCTTTTGTTCGTAAAGAGGCTAAGATATGACACATTCCATTGTTACATCATGGAATATGGGTGTACTTCATCGAATATGAATATACTTGGAATTTTTTCCAGATCTAACAACTATTTTGTTCAGCAGGTTATGGTAGCAGTTCCTGTGACTGGCAAAATATCAAGGTGAGAAAAGGTTGGACAGTGAAATATTTTAACCCTCTTTTCAATAGTTCTAGTTTAAACAGTGAAATATTTTAACCCTTAGGATAGTGTTTCTAATGTAGAACAAACGTAGGTATGCAAGTTACATTGCACCTTTTTAGTTTATACTAACTGGTGTTCTATACCTTGCAAGAATAAATTCAGATTGTTAGCGAAGTTGTTCACATACACTAAAAGCTGAACGTCTGATACACTATACATTTCTTGTACTTCTGGAAATGTATAATTGCATTGAAGGAGGGAGCTGTAATGAAATATCTGATCACTGCATTTAATTATCAATGATTTTAATCACATGATTGGAAAAATAAAAAATACTTAATTTCAGATAGTGGAAGGGAATTTGCCAAAGCAACTATGACTTTATTGACGAATGGTAAATTTAAACTGGTGTACCTCCAGTTTCAACATTTATGAATTGTGGTAAGTCTTCAATGGCATAAAGATTAAAGTTTGATTCCTGCACTTTAACTACATTTGAACAAATTCAATACATGTTACACTTCTGATTACTTGTATATCTGTAGTTGTATGTATTTGCACATGCTTTCATATATATGCAGATATTCCTATTTTCAAAAATAGGAACAAGTGGGTCAGAAGAGATGAATTGATGACTGTTCTTGATTTTAACCAATTTAATTTAACAAAAGATTACTCTTTTGACTATCCTTTCAATTTAATTTTGGTTTGATGATGATTACTATACCTTACCTACATTGTTTGAAAAATTATGAAAAGCAATATGTCTGATAAAGAAAATGTTTGGTAAATTTTGTTTTAAAGAAAGAATATTGATTAAACTATTCTTACAGGAATTTTGGCTCAAAGGGTGCACTGCAAAATATATAAAAGTCCCTTGTGAGACAAAGGTAAGTTTATGTTGGTAAAGTAATTTTTTCTGATCTGTTATAAATGATGATTCATAGGTATCTGAAATCAATTGCATCTGAATTTATTTTTGATGTCAAAACTAGGGCGAACTGATGAAACTACTAAGATCCTTTGAAAGTAATGTTTGTAATGGTGCTAAATATTTTACTTATTTTTTCCAGATTGGCTTTCCAGCTGCTTTCCACATGGGCATGGTGAGACCCCCAAAATTTTATTCTGATATATGCTGTCAATCTGTTGACTGATGATTCTAATATCCTGACTATATGAAGACCCTTTAAACATCCCATAGCATTCTGAGGAATATATTCAATTCCCAAATACTCAAATTTAGTATTGTATAATAAGTGTACACCTGTAATTTGTAACCTGTAATCTGACATCAAACTGTAGATTTATGGAGGATTTTGGCAGTTATGAAGGTAACTACGTATAAAATCTGCTCGGAGGGTGAAAGTTTTCTATAATTTGTGATAACCACTTAATCACCCCCCACCCCATGTGCGCACAAAAAATTTGTAGATTATACATCAGAACATTGTTGCATTGATTTGAACTTAAGCCCAGGGCATTCCTATAGTATCATTATAGCAGGGAATTAATACAGGCCTGTTACATGAGTGTAAACAGTTTTTAAAGCCAGTACATAAAATGTGCGAAGATTAACTTTCATACTTATTCAAGTCTTCATCCTGGCATAAGATGGTAGTAATGTCACCTATTTATGTAATGAATGATTAGCCAGGGGAAACAAGGGAATACTTTTCAAAAACATTTAGTTTCAGTGCCTTTTATAATTTCTCATAGTATTGATTTAGTTTAGTAGCTAAACATTGAAATAATTTTATAAGTTTTAAGTGTGTGCTAAGAATAGAAATTGTTGAAATTGGGTTAATTTAATAACATTCAAGTAACCATGAACTACTAACCAGCCTAGTAGTTAGGCAGTTGTAGCTCGAGTTCATTAATGCCCTCTTGCCTGGTGCGGTAAGCTTAGAGTGCACTGCAAAAATTAAGGGGCAAGTAAAAGAAAAATCAAAGCCATTTGCCTCTTTAAAATGGTGTAAACATTAGTGTAAAAATGTAAAAATCAATGAATCACTCATGAGCAGTAATATTTTTTGTGATTATAAAAGGGTGTCATTCATTTACTAAGGTTACGGAGGATGGCCCTCTTGAATTTCTAAGAAAATAAAACCAATACTTTATGCATGGACTTTGATTGTATACTGAATGATTTCAGATGTTCGTGCTTTACCGGGGAATGTATCCTTTAAAAACTTGGTAAGAATTTAACTAATATAATTAATGAATGTATAGATTTTGGTGATGAATATTTTATCCCTTACCTACATTGTTTGAAAACTCATGAAAAGTAACATTTCTGATGTAAAGGAAATTTAGTTAATTTATCATACCTGGTACAAGTAAAATTAATTAGGTTTTGTTTACAGGAATAGTAAAGGATGGTATTTGTGCCTTTTCCCCCTGAAGATGTAGGAATTTTTATAAACTAAGGTAAGACTCCAACTTGAGTATAAATTTGTTGATTGTGGTATCATGATGATTTTTATCCCTTACCTACATTGTTTGAAATATCATGAAAAGCAACATTTCTGATGTCGAGGAAATTTATTGAATATATTGGATAGAGGTAGAATATTAATTGAATTTTTGTTACAGGTTCTGGCTTGTAACAGTGCTGTACTGCAATTAGTAATTGGCAAAAGGATAAAAGTAAGTTAATACTGAAAATTACCTATTTTGCCACTTAGAATGATGATTCATAGGTATCTGAAATAAATTGCATCTGAAATAATTTGATGTCAAAACTAGGGCGAACTGACAAAACTACTAAATCTTTCTAAATCTGTACCAGTAACAAGTTGCTAATGATTTTTCATTTTTTACCAGATTGGCTTCCCAGCAGTTTCCTAGTGGTGAGTAGTAAAATTGAAAAAAATTGATAGTATTGTAGCTCTTTTACTGATGATTCCATTAATCTGACTATATGAAGACCCATTAAACATCCCATAGCGTTCTGAGGAATGTTTTTAATTAATGAACAAGTTATACTTGGCATTGTATTTCATACACTTGTATTTTGCAGTGATGAAGATCTAAAGTGGCCAAGTCAGCAAATGTACCTTATAAACTGGAGGAATTCAGCATCTAGAAAAGGAATCAGAGCCCCCCCTAAGTTCAATTGAGTGAACTTAAACCAAGTAAAAATACTTAGGCACATTCTTAATGCGCATAGACTATTCTAAGAATTAAGTTTCAGATGTTGGTGCATATCCCTCATGATAAAGGACTTCAATAAAACTTTGGTAAGGCTTTAACTAAAAGTATAATGAATTTATAGATTATGGTGTAATGATGATTCTTATCCCTTACCTACATTGTTTGAAATATCATGAAAAGCAAATTTTCTGATGTTGAGGAAATTTATTGAATATATTGGTTAGAGGTAGAATATTAATAGAATTTTTGTTACAGGTTCTGGCTTGTAACAGTGCAGTACTGCAATTAGTAATTGGCAAAAGGATAAAAGTAAGTTAATACTGAATTACCTTTTTTGTCACTTAGAATGATGATTCATAGGTATCTGAAATAAATTGCATCTGAAATAATTTGATGTCAAAACTAGGGCGAACTGACAAAACTACTAAATCTTTCTAAATCTGTACCAGTAACAAGTTGCTAATGATTTTTCATTTTTTACCAGATTGGCTTCCCAGCAGTTTCCTAGTGGTGAGTAGTAAAATTGAAAAAAATTGATAGTATTGTAGCTCTTTTACTGATGATTCCATTAATCTGACTATATGAAGACCCATTAAACATCCCATAGCGTTCTGAGGAATGTTTTTAATTAATGAACAAGTTATACTTGGCATTGTATTTCATACATTTGTATTTTGCAGTGATGAAGATCTAAAGTGGCCAAGTCAGCAAATGTACCTTATAAACTGGAGGAATTCAGCATCTAGAAAAGGAATCAGAGCCCCCCTAAGTTCAATTGAGTGAACTTAAACCAAGTAAAAATACTTAGGCACATTCTTAATGCGCATAGACTATTCTAAGAATTAAGTTTCAGATGTTGGTGCATATCCCTCATGATAAAGGACTTCAATAAAACTTTGGTAAGGCTTTAACTAAAAGTATAATGAATATAGATTATGGTGTAATGATGATTTTTATACCTTACCTACATTGTTTGAATAATTATGAAAAGTAATATATCCTGATATCAAGGGAATTGTTTAGATAACGTACATGTTAGATAGAATATTAATTGAAATTTATTTACAGGAATCTTGGCTGATAGTAAACATGCCAAAGCCCGTTAGATTGCTTAAAGGACAAAGGTAAATTAGCCCTGATTAGGGTTCACACGCACTCACTCACACACACACACACACACGCAAATACACACATACATACACTAGATGATGATTCATAGGTATCTGAAATCAATTGCATCTGAAATAATTTGATGTCAAAACTAGGGCGAACTGATAAAACTATTTCATCCTTCTAAATGGATATTTGTATTATCCTGCTAATCTATGAATTTTTTCCTTTTTTACCAGATTGGTTTCCCAAATGCATTTCCCCTTGTATGGTGATTAAGCACAAGATAAAGATGGAATGTACTTATTACATGAAGATCCTTTCAACATTCCAATGCTTTGAGTGGGCATTCAATCTGGATATATGTGAATACCCATTTATTAGGACCTTAAACAGGCATGTACCATCTTGAATGTCTTGATTTCACACTAACCAGTCATGATGATTATTATACCTTACCTACATTGTTTGAGAAGTTATGAAAAACATTTATATCTGATGTTTAGGGAATGTAGTAAATTTACCTGTTGTTGGTAGAATATTGATTACATTATTTTACAGGATTTGTAAGGAATGGTCCTAAAGTCAGACAACTTGCAGTACAGTACACTAGGTAAGTTTGCATTGTAATCTATAATTTTTAATAGTGATCAATGATGATTCATAGGTATCTGAAATCAATTGCATCTGAAATAATTTGATGTCAAAACTAGGGCGAACTGATGAAACTACTTCCGTCCAGACTAACAGTGTAGTGTTTTGCTAATTTTTTTTTCTACTCTCCAGATTGGAGTCCCAGATTTCAGTATCCTTTGTAGATTACAAAATCCATTTAAGAAGGTCCTGCAAGAAGTCGGATCGATTTTAGGAGAAACAAATATCAGTGTTTGGGGGTGAGTAAGCATGCATGAAAATATGAATGTAGTCGCAATCTATTTACTGATGATACTAGCAATCTGATTATATGAAGACCCTTCAAACATCCCATAGCGTTCTGAGGAATATTTTGGAGTAAAGAATGTTTATAATTTGGTATTATGTTTCACTTTTTTTTTTTTTTTTTTTTTTTCTCCCCAGAGCTGAAGATGAACTGTAATTGTGGAAAAGTTCAGCACATATCAAGGTAGCTTAAAAAAAAACTTAGTTAATCCAATATGGACTATAGATTTAGAAAATGCTTAATTTCATACTTTGCCTACATTGTTTGGAGAAATGTGAAAAGTCTGATATTGAGGAAATTTCGAAAATGTATCAAGTCAATATACAATACTAATTGCACTTGTTTACAGGGAGTTTGCAATCTAATAATGCACTACAAATTGACTGATGGATTTGGGGACAAATACAGGTATGTTACTACTGAAAGACTCATTACCACTTGATATGAATGATGATTCATAGGTATCTGAAATCAATTGCATCTGAAATAATTTGATGTCAAAACTAGGGCGAACTGATAAAACCATTTAACCCATCTGGGTAAACCTTGTTTGTATGTTGCTAATCCATTTAAATTTTTTTCAGATTTGTTTCCCAGCCATTTTTCTGCTTGTTAGGGGTAAGCACCAATATCGTTGCCATCCATGCACTGATCATTGTAATATGCACCTTTAGATCAAAATGTATTAAGCATTAAATGTTAAATGGCATGTCTTGAGACAATTATCTTCAAAAAGTAATTAGTGAGTGAATGGACAAGACCAAGGACTAATTTTTTAAGGGTTTCAAGTAGCCTGGGACTCTTGGCTCTGTATTTGAAGAAATATTGTCATAAATAAATTTTCATTATTCATGTGTCAAAATTTTCATCCAAGCTGTTAATATTGATGTAATTTACAAAAGCTTCAGCATTAACTCATTTACATCTGAATATGAAGAGATGCATACATATTGTGGCTATGGATATGCAAAAATAGTTTGCTTTACAAGATTAATTTTGGCCTATGATAGTTTATCTAAATGAAAGATCACAATCAGGTTTAGGGGTTTAAATTGGAAACTTGTGTGATTATATTATAGAATTGCCTTTTTTAGGTGAATGCCGTTCAGAGCACTGTAAATTCAGAAACCTCAGCCAGGGCCAGAAGAAATAAGATTGGTGAATATCCTTGGGCATGTTTCTCTAGCAATTTTTCTAATAGTTCTTTGAAATGATGCTATTGCTGATAAGTCTGAAATAATAATGAAGAGACTCCTGACTGATCCAAATTTTAGCATTAAAAAATAAGGTGTGGTGAGACCTTTTCATCACAAAGTTCATTAATTTTCAGGCACTTTATTGGAAGACCCATCACTGCAGCTGGTTTACAAGAGGATTGCAAGTAAGTAGTTTTCATTAAATACAGCTGGAAACATTGCGGGGATCGTCCTGTTGAGTGGAAGGCTGGAGAATATCTAAATATTAGAATTAATGCCTAGACATCAGAATAGTCTACCATAATATAGAGAAATAAAATCACGATAAGGGGATAAACTCGGTTCAGTGATATAGCTCAGACATTATACCCTGCAAGACAATTTTGGGTGGTGGTTAGGGAATCAGATTGTTTGCAGGTCAATTGGGTAAAAATTTTAAATGCTTTTAAAAATGCTCTAACCTCATTTAGGCATACCCCTGTAATTTTGGGGATTTCACTAAAGTCTTGTCAAATACTTTTATTTTATTTTTTTACCCAAACCAGTTGTCAAGCTCTTGGAACAAACCGCTAGGAATGTGTAAAATTTGACATTTAATTTTCAGTTATGAAAACTCTTCTTGGCATTGTCCATGTCAAGAGTCCGGGACGGTCCCCTTCATTTTCAGATGAAGTAGATTGTGGAAAGTTTAGTTAGTGGATGATTTTTCACCTTTTGATAATTGAACTTTAATTTATAACCGATTATTCAAGAAAATACTAGTTCCTTTAAGGACTTTCATTCATTTTTCATTTAAGTTGGTGGTATAGATGTAATGACTAATAAATTGATCACTGTAAAGTATTGAGCAATTTCCTTTAAATCTGTTAGGATAATGGAGACAGAATTAAATATGAAGTGGACAACTTCTTAGAATTTTAGTGCATGTCACAACTCCCTTTTCTTGATAAATAAAATATGAAAATAGACCGTCTTTTTTCTTTCCTGTGTACTTAAGTCTGATGGTGCTCAACTCTAGCTAATTAAAGCTAAGAAAATGTACCTCCACTGGAGGTTGCATTAAGATAATGTATAAGTTTGGGTGGATGGTCAACCATGGTAAATTTTGAAGGAATGTTGGATTGGCTGTTATATCCATGGAAATATGAGTCAAGAACTTTAACTTCATATGAAATGTAAAGTGAATTGGAATTTTAAACTACCTTCCAGTGTAATACATGTTTCAGATCGCCATATAAAATTAGTGAATTGTTGGCAAATGACCTTAATGTAGCACCCCCGCCCCCCAACACGCATATGATTGTAGCAAATACCTTTAACAATTGTTTCACAAATGTATGAAATAGGAGCCACTGCCGCCACCCATTTAGTTACACGTATGGGAACGTGAGTATACGAGAAGTGATTGTGTGGAAAGGAGCGAAATTGTGTGTATTGTGTGTAGTGTATGTATGGTGCAAGATCAAAGCTTGGTAAGCGTGATTTTGAGCCAAGGAGGCGTGTGCGGGGAGAATCAAACAACGCAATCGAGCAGATCACAACTTGCCATTTTTACATATATCAAACTTGTCAACTACCCGTCTAGCATTCTTTAAGTTATCAAATTCGGGCGTTTGATAAAACCAATTATGTTTAAAGATATTTTCAAAATAGATAAAGGAACTGATACATAATACAATACTATAAAACAAACTTCACTACCACGGGTCTGAAACCCCGGAATGGGCTTTCACCTGTCTCAACTTTCTCGAGGTAGACCACCTGCACGAATCCCCCCTTCTTTGTCTGTACCACCCCCCAATCCCTTGCCCGTTGTTGTCGGAGGGGGTGGGTCTTAGGAGACGGACCCAATACAGCGATCTCCCCTGCCTAGGGCCTCAGCCCTCGACTCGACTAATTTTGCATGGTCTTTTCCTTCTCCAGCTTTTGTTTCCGTCTCTTCTCCATCCCCTTCTGCTATCTACTTCCTAAGGTGTGAGAGCCGTGCTTAGAGGATGAAAGGCTTACCTAGTGCCAGTCCTGAACGGCCTGCGGGAACTATGGGCACGGTACTCCCGACTAATCTATCCCTTACCTTCAGTAGCGAAAGGAGGTGGACTGATTAGGCCTATTTACATAATCCAGGTTCCCCATGACCAGTAATGAAAATGTAATCCCTTTATTAGAGGCTGAGGCTAGCCCCTTTATCAAATAGCCCCAACCCAGGCTCTCCTTTGACCACGGCTCCGAACACTGAAACTACTGCCCACTCCTCAATGCCTACTAGTGCATTCCCATCCAAGCAGATCATCAATCTCCAGAAGACATTCCTACAATCTCCAGAAGACATTCCTACCCACCCAACTTCCTCAAATTCAACTCCACCCCTGCAACCTTCATCAAACAACCAATCCTCCCTTATTACTACCTTGCAACCTTATTCTCCATCATTCCGTAATACTCCCTCTTCCACACGTCCCCGACCATCCACCACCACCAACCCTACAGATATCTTAAATACTGTTTAGCCCTGCTAAATGGGACCGATTTTTCGTGATCCCTGCTACAGCTCCTTACTCAGGCAACACTCTTCTTTCAACAATGCCTCCAAATCTATAGCACTTTCAATTTTAACTGATCATTCTGGCAACCCCATTCCTGCAGAACCTCATCCAACCCTTAATACCTGTACCGGAACTGTCTCTCTCCCCAGCAAACTGCCCCAGTCGATACCAAAGATTGGTCAGACGGTGGAGAAGACTTGTTAGGATGCCTCAAAGACCAAGATGTGAAATCAGTACATTGCTACACCATTCCTCCTAAAGGTCAACGAAAGAATCCGACCAATATTACCAAAATTACCTTGTGTACACATGACCTTCCCTTACGTATCTACATTGGTGGACAATCCCTCCCTGTTCGACCATACCAACCCCCTCCCCGTCAATGTCAAAACTGTTGGCGCTTTGGACATCCTGCCAAACATTGCCGTTCCACAGACCGATGCCCCATATGTGCCCAACCTGGTCATAATCGATCAAACTGCTCAGCACAAACACGAACATGTGCTAACTGCGGCGGCCCCCATAATGTATTTTATAGAGGCTGTCCCACTTACAAGTTTGAATCTGAGGTAGCAACTCTGATACAAAAATGGTCTCACTTTACGTGAAGCCAGACAGGAAGCACGTCGACAAGGTTTCTCTCATACTCCATATTCTAGCAACATCGTTCGCTCAGCCCTTCCCCCTCCACCCCAAAAATGTCCCCATTTCCACTTC